AAATGCTTAAAAAACTGTATCTAAAACCATCAAAATAGTTAATTATCAAGCTTCCATCACCATGCACTCAAGACACTAAAACAACAGCACTCATCACTCAGCAACTAACAAGCCAACCAATATTTGTATTTTTCAACACCTCTGTTGCAAAGACCAAAGTTTAGTGCCACCATGTCATGGCAGGGTACATAACCCCCAGCACCCTACTCACTCTGCATTTGGAGACACTACAAATCACCTTCATAAACGAATACCTTTTCTTTCTCAATCCCACAGGTCATGTGAGTGCTCGAGGGAGTTAGAGCAGATGGCTTTTCCCACAGCCTGCCCAGGATTCATGCCATGCCTGAGCACCACAAGGCATGGAAACATCTAAACCCACTGCATCCAGGTTTCACACACAGCCTTTTAACAATATGCACAAGCAAAATTTAAGCCTACTTTTGTAATTTATAGGTTACCTCGACAAATATACATGAAGCAGCCCTTACCCACATGGCTCTCCTCCTGACACGCACACTTCTGCCTACCCCTGGCACAAGCCTCACCTGCCCATCGATAGCTGGCATCTGGTGAAGCAACAGGATAAAAGAAAACACTGGCAAAGGGAGTGGTGTGCTTTTCTCCCTGATCTGCTGTGGGTAGGGAGCACCTCAGGCTCATTTTACCCATGGAAATAAAAGGCAAAGTGAGGGCAGTGTTTCCTCCCCCTTGGTTGAGCTGCAGCAGCAGTAGGGCTCTTTGTGGAACTTTGATCTCCTCAGTCAGGAGAGCAGCTTCATATGCCTCTTTGCCCTTCACAATCTGTGTTCAGCTCCCAGGTTTCCTCTCAGCAGATCTGCCCAGCAAGGTGAGCGCAGCATCCTGCTCCTCTTCCACCTCTGCTGTCTCGGGTGCATGGTGCTAGGGAAAGTACCATGCTGAAACACAGCTATGATGTTGGTACACAGCAAAAAGAAGTTGTGTGACCCAGAACACTCATTTTAAATGAGAAAGTCATTTCCTCTTGCCTTGGTTACTCAAACTTTGCCAGACCGCTGCAGAATGACTACAGCTAAACAACACTTTCATTTACTTCATATACAGCGTTTAAGTTCAAAGCAGATCAGAATAGCACTGATGTTTGTCTGAAAAACACTTTAAATTCAATTTTTCTGTCAGAAAAGTAAATTCAGCTGAAGATGTAAGAGCGCAAGATGAAAACTACGGAGCCTTTAAAATATACCACCACATGAGCCCTGAGGACATCTAAATCAACAGCAATACTGATGGTATGAAAAGCATTCAGCAGTTCAGCTCTCTGGGCCATATGTCAGCCTTAGCTACAGATGAAAGTTATCTTTCCTTTTTCTACTTGATCACTGGAGCAGGATTCTCGTTAAAATCTCATCTGATATGCTTTCTTCTTTGTAAAACATGATGCAGGCCGTGAGTGAGTACTGCACAACTAAGCAGTTTGGAAAATAAAAAGTACATTGATCAAAGAATGCACTGAGAGTGATTTTGTGTCCACAGGATGCCTCCTGCAGACCTCTGATGCTGGCCACACTTCCTATTTATTCCCGTCCTCAGGTATAAAATGAAGTTTTGAAGACCAGGAAAGAGGTAGCAAAGCCTCAGCCTTATCCTGTTCCACGCAGCCTTGCCCTCCACACACAGGTGGTTGCTCTGAGGAGAACACACCTCCAGAAGCTCACAGGTGACTGGAAAATAAGCAGTGAAAGCAGCTAAGTGTGAATTGAATCTCCCTCCTTCACTATTCATAACCCATGGCCTGGCTCCATTTGCACTGGAGCACTCACACTCCCACCCCTGTGGAGACACCTTCCCTAGGGCAGACAGTCCCTGGAACACTGCTTCAGGTCAGTGACAGGCAGACCAACTGCCCTGCACCGTGCCTCAGCCACAGGCACTTCTGCCATGAGGGGAAACCATGTCACCTGCTTCAAAATGCAGTAGGACTTCAGTATTTACCTGTTCAAAGTTCAGTTTGCCTTCCTTCCCCCTGTATAGTGCTGCACACCAGAATGACTCTGTTCTTGTACACTGCCCAGTACTGTGAATGTTTGTTAAGGACCACTGGCCTTCTTAATCAACTTAAAATTGAGTATACCTTACCCAAACACCTCACTGGAGGAGAAATAAGTATTTTTATTTGTCTGTAATCATCTTAAGGCCACTTCCAAGAGTCTGCAAATAGCAGGTCAATGAAAGGAATATCTAAACTACTCTAAGCTGCTCAGAAGTTTCTTCAGGAAAATAAATCCAAAGCTCATAGTTCAATTAGTTGGCAACATTATACAGGGCTTGGGTTTGGATTTTTGTGCTTAGGTGTGGGCTTTTTTCTGTATTTAAATGAAAGAAGTTTCGAACAGTATTTCCTTTGTGCACAGGCATGATGAGTTTAGAACTTTGGGGTTTTATTTTTCTCTAATTTCACACCAGTAAGGTTACTAATTTAAACCTAATTCTCTTGAAAAGTAAACATCCACAGAAATGCCCCACTTGCATCCAAACACAGGTGCTGTTTTTTGCCTTGGTTACCTCCCCTACATTTCTATTTTACACATGAAATCAGAGGCTCAAGCAGACTCCTAAAATGGCAACTAACACCCCTTTTTCTTCTACGTGACTCATTTCTGTTCTTCACAGCACAGGTACATACCTCTTTCAGCCTTTATTCCCTAAGGATATTTAGTTTTAGCACCTTTCCCATAGCACACAGGGATTATGGATTACGTGCACAAGTGCCAGCTTTCTACCCATGGCTGGAGACCACTGCAGGACCAAGCAGAACCTGTGTGTGCCAGAGCAGTGCTGCAGCTTCCCAGTCCTTGCCTTTGAAGAGAGATATTTCATACCATGACAGGTAACTCTTTAGCAAAGTTCATCTCAAAACCTCAACCTCAAGTGTTAAAAAAGAAAAACCCTTAAATGATACAAGTTATTACATTTAGTCCCTTTGGGGGAAGTGGGGAATGATTTTGTGATTAAGGACCTACAGTGGGGCTCAAGAGAATTAGTTCAATTCCAGGCTCTGAAACAAGCTTCAAGATTCCGCTGGGGAAGCCTATGCAATCTCCTATCTCACATGGACAGCAGCAGGATAATTTATGAGTGCGAGCAGCCCTCAGAGTTGTAGTTATCAACAGCCAAGTAAATGCAAAGGTAGGCTGCAATCATTCTGAGGACTAGTTAACTATCCAGAGAAGGCAGTAGCATTAGATTATTACTTACAACAGAAGTCACTTAGAAAACAGGTATTAGAGGGAGTCTTGAAAAATAGCAAGTTCTATTATTTACTCTTGGGTTGACAGCTAGCTCCTAATAGTTTTACCTAGTGCATTAGTGAAAATGAATGAATGAATGAATGAATGAATGAATGAATGAATGAATGAATGAATGAATGAATTGAATGAATGAATGAGCTGCAAGGTAAAAATAAGCTGGCAGGTCTTGCAGAAAGACACTATTCTGAAGCACAGCACTATATTCCACATTTTTCACTACAGGGAAAATTTGCTCTATTTAATTCTATAGCTGGTATTGTTTCTTGGCAAAACTGAATTTATTAATTGATTTAATTCATAAAATGAACAAATTAAGCAATGAAAACTCATCTGACAGATGAGTTATGATAAAGTCAAAAAAGCTCTGTCAGAAAAACATAATGCTGAAGTCACTGTGTAAGCAAAGTGCTCCACTACATAATCTACTGTAAAAGCATAAGCCTGTCTTGAAAAAAAGAACAAAACGATTTAATTTCTCTGACATACTGATAAGCACACATTAGAATTTGTTATTCACCACCAACAGAAATTTTCTCCTGCAGTTATGAAAGCAGTTGTCATACACACCAGAAATACCTAAATTAAAAATTACTTCCCATATTTAAGACACCACAACCATTTTAAAATTTTACTCGTTTCTGAAAAAGTACAGTGAGTATTATGGCTGCAACACCCACGATGTATTTAATGCATCACAGAAGTTACTTTCAGTCATTTAATGTGTCCTTCATCTGCATCTAAACCACTTTCCCTATGAAAGTAATTGCCTTTCAGAATCATAGAATCATAGAATAGTTAGGGTTGGAAAGGACCTTAAGATCATCTAGTTCCAACCCACCTGCCATGGGCAGGGACACCTCACACTAAATCATATCACCCAAGGCTTCATCCAACCTGGTCTTGAACACTGCCAGGGATGGAGCATTCACAACCTCCCTGGGCAACCCATTCCAGTGCCTCACCACCCTAACAGGAAAGAATTTCCTCCTTATATCCAATCTAAACTTCCCCTGTTTAAGTTTTAACACGTTACCCCTTGTCCTGTCACTACAGTCCCTAATGAAGAGTCCCTTCCCAGCATTCCTATAGGCCCCCTTCAGATACTGGAATGTGGAAAAATCCAGTTTTTGATCAGCATTCATGTTCAATCTATAACCAATAATTTAACCTTCATAGTAAGTATTTTTGCAGAGTGTCTACCATTTATTTTGCATGTATTAAAACAAAAAATAGTTGATATTTCAGTAAAATGGTTAAGTATATTTTTTAAATCTAATTGATCGGTTTGTACGTAACTACCTATTAAAGTGGTTCTTCACATTAATTTGCTTGACTGCTTTTGAAACTACAGTTATTTCAAGATTTTCCTTAACTTTTCCACTATTATAACTTTAAGTTATAACAAAGTGAAAACAGTTGAAAACACAAACCAATCCCAAGCAAATTCAATACTCACTAGATCAATATAAAACTGGTTCAAATGTGTCAGTTATTAGGTGAACAAGTAACACCAACAATTCTGGTTGAGGCTAAAGTTAATCTGTTCACTTTTCTGTCTCCAAAGGTAAAAGCAAAAATCATTGATGACCTTTCATTAATTTAGAGATATTCCTTCCCTCCCATTCATCATGCATCAAAAGCCAGGTCTGACCAGACCTGCCCATTCTAACTTGAATAGCCAGATGTAGATTCAACCACAAGTGAAATTGGTGACAACTGCATAAAGCAGGTAACTTTATTTTGTGACTGTTTAGCAGCATCTAATTTAAAATTACAAAGGTGCAGCACTGACACTCATCAACATTTGTTTTAATAGAAAAGCCTTCTTAAATTTTTCAGAAGTTCTCATAGGACTGCAACAGAATCTGAAGTGCAACAGAAGGTGCAATGCTTGCGTGGTTACAGGACTTTCACTATTACCAGTGCCAGCAGTGTCTTCTTAGGTTCCCCATTGGTGCTGTACTTGGTTAACATGAAGAGCTGGAAGAAAATACAACAACTACTACAATATAGTTGTAGTTTCTCTATCTGGTGACCCTCCCCACATCTGCTTGTATCTAAAAATCAGTTCCCCTCTTCCATCAGTGAAAGGTTAATTGCCATCTCAACATTTCACTTAATGTACAATCAAACCTAATTATTTGCTATAAACTTTTGATTGTTTAATATCCTCAAAGGTAACCTAACATCTAAGTTCTCAATTCAGTGCCAAAATGAAAAAAAAAAAAAAAAAAAGCAAGCAGCTCTGACAGGCTCTGTAGCTAGATTATCATTAGCATTAGTTGTAAGAGATATCAGTCACTGTGGGTCTAATCCTCTTTTAACTTTGTGGAGAAAGTTGTTTTCAGTGTCACACTTTCCTTTCTCCACGCCTTACGTCTACAAAACCAAAGGCAAACCTACAAAAGAGCTGGTTAGCCCTCCTACAGGCCAGAAGGTACAGGAGATATCTCCCTCCCACAGTCTGCATCTTCTCCAGCTGTATTAGAAATCAGGCCTTCTTTCTCTCTCCATGTAAAAAAAATATTTGAATCAGGAAGTATGCATTATTATTTTTATTTCACATCTACAGCAGTATCAAATTTTTTCTACCTAAATTCTGAATATTCCAATTATAATTTACATTATTGATTTTCTACCCTGAATAATGTTTCATTTTGTTTGATAACAACAGTAACAACCACACAGGCATCTATGTGCTAAGTACCCTCCTTATTATGAAAAAGCCAAAGAAACCTGCTGAACTTGTACATTTTAGAAACTCATATTTAATTATTCCAATATAAACAGGATCCTTCAGGCTGAGTCTGGCTTAAAGACAGCCAGCCATGGTTTTCATTATTTAAATAAAATAAAGTTTCCAGCTAGAATAGATGTATTGTTGTCAGCATCATGAAGGTTTTAACTAGAAATTACAGTTATTAAAGCAAGCAGCTACAGAGCTTTGTCACTCTCACCTGGCATTGGTGAAAGGACAGGTGTCCCTCCAAGCAGTGGCCATTTTGTAGGTTGATATCAAAAATATCCCAGAAGTCCAAATCCTTTAGTAGGTGCTGAAAGAAGAGGTGGAAGATTATCTTTGCATCTGACAGTCCTGTTTGGAAATGGTTTTTGTTTTTTTTTATTGCAACTGATTTAAAACAAACAGTGAAATCTGCTTTTGTATGCACAGGACACTCTTAACTGTGAGGGTCTGAGAACACCAGGCTTGAAAAATGCCAGTTACCCAGCTGAAAGCCGGTACAGAAATGGGAACTGTAGACAAAGTAGTGACACCACACACCGACAGCTACAAATGCCTTAGTTCTTACCATTCCTAGTGCCCTACTTCAAAAGATGTGCAACCACTGAGCTACAAGTATAACCTTCCTGTCCCGTTTAACAACAGAGCATACTGGCCTGCAGTGTCACTAATCTTAGCATGAGCACGCTATAAAGTAAAACTTTTCCTGATGTTAACGTTAGCTGCACACACAAGTTAAATCACAAACTGACAAATTAATTACAATTTGTATGGAAAATTAAAGCCGGATTTTGAGCTATTTTTTCATGACAAGCATATTACATGTAATCTGAGTCTGGTTCTAAGCAAGGACTTAATCCATGACCATAATATAGGTCACTAGTTTTGATACAGTTTGTGCCTAGCATTCATTCCAAGAAATCAGACCCAGGACTAACATCAATAGCTGCCAAGAGTGTACATGTGGTTTCTTTTTACACTGTCATTTAATAAAAGAAAATAAATCCAATTAAGCAGTGTCACGATATTTTTTGCTGACTTTCCTATTTCAATCATTAAAGCACTATTTAATTTATAATAAAGCACCGTACTCTAAACCTATGCATCCAAGAATATTGATGTTTAAAGCCTGAACCGCCCTCGCCGTTTCTGCTGTCCTTTTAGTTTTCAATGAGCTTCAGTAACTCAAAAGAAATGCAACCAACTTGGTAACTAAAAAAGAAAGCTTTGTAGAATGGGGAAAGTTCACAATGGGAGGAAAAAAGCCTTTCTAAAATAGCCAGGTGTTCACCTCAACCCATACCAACTTCAAACAGATGCAAGGACAGTAGTTGAATCTGATTTCAGACTAAGGACATGAAAGATGAGCTTTATATTCTTACACTTTTATAATGTTAGAATGAATTCTTTTTCAGATAAAGAATAGTACACTCCCCTGCTCTCCTATTCTTTCACATAAAGTTTGCTCTGAAAATAGCATGGCTGAGTTAAGTCTTTCAAGTATCATTTGATCACTGCCAAATATTTGCAAGTTTGGATTTTTCCACATCCCACACCCTACTTGACTGTAGTTCATGTAGTATCTGCTAGGTTTTGTTCTCCTTCTATGAGTAAATGTACTGTGGGAAGTGATCAAGTCAGTCATTGAAACACAATGAATTACTTTGAAATACAAAACTGAAGTAGTATTGTAAGAAGAGCTCCTGACGGTCTATCACCCAAATGAAGGTTTAACCTGAGGAAGGGATTACTGGCTTAAGAAAGCAATCCTACCTGGCAGCAGCAGAGGTGGAGGTTTACTTAAAGTATAGGTGGCAGTGCTTGTGCATGACCTTGCATCCTCACATTGACTTCAACTTCAGTTGAAGGATCAGTTTGTTCAACAAGACTTAGTCTAAATGAACAAAAGCAGTAAGCCATTCTTATGCACAGATATTCTAAGTCTGCAAATTACATATGTGGCTGGGTTTGTTGTTGGGGTTTTGTGTGTATGTGTGTGTCGTGTGTTTATGGGCTGTTTTTTGGTTTGTGGTTTGTTTTTTTTTCAGAAATGTTCTGGATTTTATACTTTAGATAAGTTTATACACCATTATATTAAACCAGGAGTTGCATTCCACTTAACAGACTGATGGATATCACTAACTTGAATTCATTTATGTGTGCAGTATTACTAAAACTTAAATACTCAAAAGCATTAACAGATGATGAAATACTCATTTTGCAACCACAAGTTGTGAGAGAGCAACTGCCCATTAGAGGACTTGTGTATATGTCCTGGTAACAGGTCTAGTTCTGTGAGGAATACAGATGCACATGAGGAATACATGATGCACATGCCCATTGATACACACACTGGCATTATATACATGAACTTTTTATCTCTAGTGCCTATCACTTATTTAACAGATTATTTATGTGGAATGTACCCAAACTTATTTTCATCAGCTTTAAAAGATGCTTGAAGTTGTATTTCAGTGGGAAAAAATATTAATACTTCAATGATGTCTTTTCTGCTCTTTGCATTGTCACTTACTGAGCTCAACTCCACTCGATCCAAGTATTTCCCCACACTTAACAGAAATGTCTAATGCCCAGAGACACACTGTAATCTCTCAGCTCCCATGCTAGGCAGTCATCTACCAGATCATCTGCCTTGTGTGAAACCCTGGTACACTCCTGTTGCTCGGGCTCAGCAAATGTATTCCCAAAAGCTTTAACTAGAAGAGCCAGAGCATCCTCCACAGGCATGCTATGAGGCACCACAAAGACGAAATAGCTGGCTTTAACAAGCTTGTGTTTTCATCTACTTCACACATTTACAAAAAGGTAGAAAAGCATAGCTGTTAAATCTGCGCAGTATAACTGAGGGAAATTTTTGAAGCCTTCAGTTAAATATTGATATAGCCCTTCTGTAGATGCAGAGGTTAATTCTGATTTAGCACCAGTACGTAAAACTTCATTTGAAATATAAATGAAAAGCTGTTAATTTCTTCTTCCCACTGTAAAAATATTACTGGTCGTTCATAAGCTAAAGCTATAACTGAAAAAGATTCCCAATTCCATACAAAGACTTTCACAAACATCACAGCTGAAATAAAATGATTAGAACAGATTCCCCCCCTTCCCCCCCCCCCCCCTTTAATTTCAGCATATCTTTTACCTAACTAGAGAACAGGGCACATACTTTCCCTCCAGGAGAAGCTGCCTTTTTACTATTGTGTTCTTGATACAAGATGCAAAATTTGTGAATTTACAATAAAAGGTTCTGAAACAAATGCAGATAAAAACTTTAAAAACAATTGTGATTCATTTACATAGAATCAATGCAAGACATGGAAATTTTAATTAAGCAATTTCTATATAACTATCATTAATTACTGTATATCGCAATTTCTTCCATGCATTTTATGTCATTTAAGCAGCAATCCAGGACAAATATTTAATCACTCCATGGAACATGAATTATTACAAATTCAGTGAACTATTTCAAAGCTGTCTCATTTTAAGTAGGTCAAATCTGTTACCCAGAAGTGCAGTGAATCAGCATTTAAAATTTTAGTGGGTTAAAAGAAATTTAGACTGCAATTCTGAATGGGACTGTTTTAAGTGACATCTCTCAAACAAACATAACTTTCTTTTGATAGAAGAATGAAACACGATTACAGTGCACAAGGGAAATGCTAAATTGGGCTGTTCTAGAATACAAAACCATTATTAGCTTCTTGGAGTGCATGTGTGAGATCTAACTTATGTAAGGTATATTATTTCCACTACAACACCAGGTTCTTGTAACCGATTGCCTATAAATCTAGCATATTGCCCTGGGGAAAAAGAGAAGTTGGCTATATGCAAATGAAAATCTGTCATTGTTTCCTATTGCTGTGCTCTTGCCATTTTGTATGTGCCAAATGCAAAAGGATCAAGTCCAGTGTTGTGAGGTGTAAAAAACCCCACAAAACAGTGTGCTCATTGATCAGATACACTTTCTACATCAGAAAGTAACTGTGATCTCCGTTAGCAGTTAGCTATTCTTGCCTCATCATATTTTAGTGCTATATTTGAGTGACATACTCTTAATTATTGAAATAATTTCTGTTTAGCATTTGATTCTGTATCAACATTCTCATATACTGGGAAATACTTGACTGAAAACAATATGAACTATTACACTGATATTAGTGTAGTTTTGTTAGTAGCCTGTTTCTTGAAAAAAACACTGAAGATACAGGGCACAAAAGTTAACAGTAATGATCCATATGTTCTCAGGATAAATGCTACACAGTATCCTTTAAGGATTTTACAGATATCTTGATTTTAGCCTTTTAGACTTGTAAGATCACATTTCTTACTGATAGCAATACGAAGAGGTGAAAGTCACAGACTCCATTTGCTTCACCAACAAGAAAGCTTGCTAACATTGATCCTGAAACTACAAGCAGGAAAGTAGACAGTCAAGGAAGAACTATGTCTTCTTCATATCCTGTAGTACACATACTTATTTTTTAAACATTTCTAACAGTATTTCATTTACATATTAAAGCAACACACTTGCGCTTGAACAAGTTGAAACAAATTGTTTTGTCAGCTTCTATTATTTTTAATTGCTTAAAAAAATTAGAAGTCAATTTACAACTTCCTCTGATTATCCCAGATGATATATGCATTTCAGGCAAATTAATGAACCCAGCTGCAGCAGCTCTAGTTCCTCCTATCTGAGTTTTGAGTCTCTCTACTACTGACCAAACATTTAAATAGACCACTAAACTATGATAGTGTCAGAGAATTTCCAACTGGTAATTCCAACTGTACTACTATATTTCTGCAACACTCCATGAACTGAAACAGAAAAATCTCTGTGGTAGTCCCAATCATATCTGAGTATCAGAAGGGGGTATGTCAAATACAGAGGTCTGTGAGGAGGAAGGGAATTAAACATTGCATTTACAGTGCCAGAATTTAATACAAAGAAAGGCAACTGTCTCAGCTTAAAATAAGTTTATTGATTCTGTTGTTAGAAGGTGTGTGAAGGCAGAACAGATCATCTACATTTCCTGTAAGTTTCAAATGAATTAAATACATAGGGAATCAATATCAGTAACAAATTTGGTACAACACACTTTGCGATGGGGAGGAGGAAAGAAACAAAAGTTAAAATACCAAAGCAGCAATAAGGAAGTCAAAAGGAGCTATAGTTTAGATTTCCAATTCTCTAGATAGTCCTTTAACAAGAAAAAGGAATTCTGTGTATTTGAGTGGTTAAGATGTACATATTCAAGTGGTTAACATCTATGTATTCAAGTTGATCCAGCTTGCCTCCAGGGGATAAGCAGCAAGATAATGGAAACTAGCTCTTCCAGGATTAAACACTTGCAACAGAAGCTTATCTTCTGTTTAACAGAATGTTACTCTAAGTGTTCTCCTACTACTAAGAACTAAATAATAGACCAAAAGCTCTGTGCATTTTAGAGCCCTTTTTATATAGCCAACTTCAATTTTTCCTTCTGTTGGCAACTGTGAATCTTTCACATCAGAAAGATATTTGCCATGCATGCCCACAAAGATTACTCAGGCAATAATAATATCTGAAACTACTTTTAGTATGTCTAGATTAAGAGACCATAAAATATATCCAAATGCTGCAAGATGGTCTTTAAAGCAGAAAAGAATTAAGATCAGACCTGAGTAATTTTTTTTTAAAAGAACAGTCTCTTGTGGCTGTCATACTCCAAAGCGTGGGAGATACATAGGAAATTTTAGGACTAACTGTAAGTACTAAGGAGATCCAGAAACATTAAATAGGCATGATCTTCAGATATTATCTACATATTTGTAGGGTCACATTTCTGAACTGGGTTACACTTACCCATGTAATTACCATTTCTGTAATAGAATTAGCTGAAGAAAAAACTTAATAGAAACCTACTTCTCCTCCTGGCTGATGGCAACAATGACAGTCAGAAGGTCTCATTCTTTCTGCACCTTTTGATAAAACTGCAAGCAGAGCTTCTCTCTACAATCATTCCTAGTGCAGTCACCTGCAACCAAGAATCAAAAAAAAATCAATTAAGCAACAGCACAGACTGCAAAACTGTATTAGCACATCACCAAGTCTTCACTACTTTACCATGTAACAATACTGTCAAAAATGATAAAAACCAGTTCTTCGAAGCTAGGTTGGTTTTTTCCCCTCCCTTTTCTTTTTCCCTGAGGAAATCTGTTACAGCCAAACAGGGCATAAGAAACATTATTAAACTCAGCTTCAGAGTTCTCAGAATTAATCTGAGAGAATTAATCTGAGAACAGCCCATTCATCTATTCCAACCTACAGAGGATTATTTTTGTCCTATACTCTCCTGAATTTTCTTCTCCTTTGATGCTGAAACTCAAATCTCACTCCAACAAAAGACAGTGAGAGACTAGGAAAAGCCACCACACTGCTTTTTGTTTTTTCTTTTCACTAAAGCCAGACACTATTGCTCACTGACTTGCCTGTGCAAAAGACCAGGTAGTTATTCAACCAATATCCCTCTGGTACCTTCCTGGAAGAACTCATACTGAGCACAGGTAAATCCATAAATTATCCTGCAATTCAGTTACAATTATTCCTCACACAGATCTTACCACATGCTGCTACATTTACACCATTCATTAGCTTGTCTAGAAGCAATGGGATAAACAACTTCTTTAGCTAGTAACAGAAAAACTTTCATGAATAATCTCCACCCTGAAGGGAAGTACCTATGTATTTTTTGCCACTGAGTTCTACCAGGGATTAAATTTATAACTCACATTCCTACACGCTTTTCATTACCCATATTCATTATAATTATTTCATATATTCATTATAATCTTTCATTATATAGTTAGGTAGTATTGTGCTCAATACAATGATATTCCTGTCAAGCTGTGCATCTCATTGTTAAATTAGTAGTTCATTAAAAAAAGCCTCACTTAACTTTCTACAAGAGCCACTATAATAAACGTTCTTAAAAGACCACATTGACTAATCCCATTTCAAGATTTTTTTAAACTCTATGAATAACAAATTAATAACATGAAATTTACTTAACCATATCTTGACTGAGTTAGATAATGCTTAAACTCTCAAGAGCTTTTTTTTCAAGCTTATTTTTAGAAGTTTAAACTATAAAATTCAAAAGTTAGAAAATAATTTCCAGGTAATCTGAGTATGCACTCAGGATCACCTACTACTAGCATTTATGCTAGTAGCATGTAGTTAGATTTAGTTGCTAGTGGAAAGCAAGTTTCTCTGACCACTAACAAAAAGAAAGATTATTTAAGGAGAGATGTAACTAGTCAAAAATCCTCAAAAATTTCAGAATGACTCTTCAGGATGACATCCACTCTTTTTGCCACAGACAAACTCCGTAGCCAAGCACCTGTAACAGACAACACTTTGGAATTCAAACTAGAAAAGCACAGTCTAGAATTTGGCAGGCTCCAAGGCATGAGATACTTCTTAGATATTCACGACAAGATTACTATTAAAATGAATGTATATTCCTGCTATAGCATTAAAAATATTTTTCTGTTTAATACCTAGAATGTTTAAAGCTTTAGAATAATTTCTATTTATGCTACTGAAAGTTTTTTACCTATTCAATCTTCAAAATCCTTTGAATAATCATATGGGAAAGGATGACTTTTCTAACAAGATCCATGATGATTTATACTAAAGGAGGTAAGAATATAAGGTTACATATATACAAATGTAAAATTACATACATAAGAATATAAGGTTAGACCAGAAAAATCTTTTAAAATCTAGAATAATACAAGTGTTAAACAATAATGAAATACGCACATTCAATAGATGTTCATACTATATTTGTTAAAGAGTGTAATTGTATCAGATAAGACAGATGTACTATTTCTCCTTCCCCACTCTTTCATTAAGAAACTCTTGAGAGATGCGAAAAGGTCATGTTTCCTTGTCCAGCTTTGCTTAATTGAATGAACACCTTATGATACACCATACAGCAGCTCAGTCAGATCCTCCCAACATTGGTGAAAGAAAGGCAAAAGAAATACTCTGACATCACAACAGTCATTGCAAAAACATGCAACCACAAGGGGACATCTTTAGCCAAGATTTCTGCTTACACAAGATCCTTCTAAAGCTTTTCCTTCATTCATTTTTTCCTTAAGTTTACAGTAGAAAGGGCTTTCATTATGCATCAGCAACTGGCAGTATCTGAAATTAATTATATTAATATTTCATTTATTTGCTTCCCATAATAAGATGCATCACTTGTACATCACTTACACACACTAAATTAAGCATGTTTTTAAATTACAGTACAGAAAAATAGACTTTACTGAAAAGCTACATCCTGAACTGTCCATATGAACTTCCTTTAAGATTAGCTCGTACATACTGGCTTACTTTGTCCTGTACCAAGAGATGTCTTTCATGAGTACAGCTTTATCAAAAAAAAACCCTAAACACAAAACCAAAAAACATGGTGTTTTTTGTTGTTTGTCTGTTTGTTTTCACCCTCTTTTTACACTTCTATTGCAGTGCTTAAGTATGCTCCAAAACACAGCTGGGATATGTTGCGCTCTATTTGTACTAATTCCTAGAGATCCTGTGGTCTAAGACAAGACATACAAGATTATCTAACATATTAACACAAACAAACATATGATAGCCCTGGGGGTGTATGTTCTGTTTGGTTTCTAAAGGTATGTCTAATCTAACTGACCACAAAAAATTAAAAACAAAGAATCCATTTAGATTCTGTATTTCAACTAGGAACATTGTGGTTTTCCTCAAAAGATGATTAGCCAAAATCCCCAAAAGAAATTATCTCCCACTTCCCTGATATAACTGCAATACCATAGAGAGAAGAGTAAGATTGTCACGTTATTTCAGAATATGCTCTTTTGGAAGCAGTTACAGAGTGAAGCAATGTGAGAAACAAAACAAAAAAAAAAAAAAAAGACAGCAGCAGCAGACTTCTGTGGTTGTGGTTGTTCCATTTGTTTTTAATAAGGAGCACTTATACTTGGAAGGAATCATTGTTTTGCAGAAGTGGTATCAAAGACTAACAGTACAGGGCAAGCGAACAGATTGCAAACAACCCTCAAAGCAGCTGCTGTGCACAGGATATCAAACTAAACAAAAAAATGCCCTAAACCATGCCTAGAAACAAGAAGAAATACAGCATATCCTGGCAAACCAACAGGGTTTATGGCTTAGCATTTCAAACAGACAACAAGCTACCTGATCCTGTATCTAGGTGTTCTACTACGCAGTGTAACCATCACAGCTCACATTAACACCCTTGGGCTACACTACCCACTGGTGACAGCTGCCAGCCAGGGAGGGACACAGGGCCATACCCATGGGGAATGACAAAGCAGATCGGAAGAGCGGCCCCCTCACTCACAGACCTCAAGGTCTGTCTACACACAGCAAGGATATGACACTGCTATATCCAAGACAAAAGAAACAAGTTCAGCTTTCAGTCTTGGATTCTCCACACTTTTAAATAGCTTAGTTTTCCTATTAGCCATTACTACTATGGTGCAATATCTTTGACATAAACCCAAAATTTCTAAGTAAAACATCCTTGTTCTTAACAAATAACTTTCAACCTGAAAGTCAATAAAAGGAAACAACTTTGTCACTTTATTATCATATGAGGAAAGACACCTGAAGAACTAAAGTACCCCTCAAAACATGGAAAGCAGATGAATGCACCTCTTTCAGTTTTTTTAGAAAACGAAATAGTGTGGGAAAGCATGAGGCTGAGAAGACACTTATGAACTAAACCTGAAGGACTAGGAACTGGAAAAGTTGAAACCACATGACTCAAGACTGAACAAGAATCCTCTCCTAACATAAAAACATGACAAAAATGCTGAGGGAGTTTTGTTTAATTTTATATTCTACATCTAATATCCAAAGATTCACTTTTCTCATAAACTGCTTCATAGCAACATTTCTGTGTTACATATTATTCACTTCAGAAGACATGGGATCTACCTGGATGCATGTGTGGGCTGAAAGTCAAGAAAGTTTGGGGACTAAATATTGAAGGCAAACAGCAGGGAACAGTCAGCACAGATCAATAAAACTCCATGTTATAGAACACAGAACTTGCGTGACATTCTTTTAGGCTACCCTAAAGTGTGCTAAGAGGAACAACAAGCTAAAAAAAGGAATTAAGTTATGTTGGATATAAGAAGCCTGTCTTCTGAAGTGCTATAAAGGATAAGAGGGTGAGTTTTACTTCTCCTGTCCTAAGTATCTACACATACATAAACCCCTCATTTCAGTTGCAGAAAAAGAACAGAGGAAGACAAATTTATAGACTACCAAAGTTCAAACTATTCCTAGCATCTCAACCCATAACTTCCCATATTCATAGAATCATTGAATAATAAAACAGTTAGGGTTTGAAAGGACCTAACTGGATCATCCAGTTCCAACACCCCTGCCATGGGCAGGGACACCTCACACTAAACCATCTCACCCAAGGCTCCCTCCAGCCTGGCCTTGAACACCGCCAGGGATGGAGCACTCACAGCTTCCTTGGGCAACCCATTCCAATGCCTCATCACCTTCACAATAAAAAACTTCTTCCTTGTATCTAATCTAAACTTCCCCTGTTTAAGTTTTAACCCGTTTCCCCTTGTCCTACCCCTATGGTCCCTAATGAAGAGTCCCTCTCCAGCATCCCTTATAAGCCCCCTTCAGATATTCAGTGTGGCAGAACTCATTTCATACTACGATTCTAAGAAGTGAAAATGAATCTTCTTTTAATTACATTAAGACAGACAAAATGTGTTATGTCTACACTATACCTCATTGTCGTGGTTTAAGGCCAGCCGGCAACCCAGAACCATGCAGCTGCTCGCTCTCTCCCCCACTTTCTCCTCCCGCTTCCAGAGGGATGGGGAGGAGAATCGAAAGAATGTAACTCCCACGGGTTGAAATAAGAGCAGTCCAGTAACTAAGGTATAACACAAAGCCACTACTGCTACCACCAATAATAATAATGATAAGGGAAATAACAAGGGAAGAGAATACAACGAATCACCACCTGCCGAATGATACCCAGCCCAACCCGAGCAGTGATCTAGCCCTTCCGACTAACTGCCCCCAGTTTATATACTGGGCGTTGATATGCTGTGGTATTGAATACCCCTTTGGCTAGTTTGGGTCAGGTGTCCTGTCTCTGCTTCCTCCCGGCTTCCCCTCCTCCCTGGCAGAGCATGAGGCTCAGAAAGTCCTTGGTCAGAGCAAACATTACTGAGCAGCAATTAAAAACATTGGTGTTATCAGTGTTGTTCCCAGGCCAAAAGTCAGAAACACAGCAGTGCACCAGCTACTAAGGAGAAAAATGACTGCTACTGCTGAACCCAGGACAATCATGTACAGATGATTCTTTGGATTTTGCTCAGATATACATATAAAGCATGTAAACACTATCCTTGCACCACTGAACACAAGTTAGGATAATACTCTTCAAAAGTGGAAGGTAATTACTACAATAAACAGATTTATAAAAATATATGAAGTAATAAAGGGAAAGACTGAATTCTTAACAGCCTTAAACATTAACACTGTATCTCTGAAGTAGCATGTTGCCTCAAGAGGGAGGAATTGTTTATAGGAAAATAAGCAGGAGAAGCGATTATGTAGATGAAAACATGCAAGAGAAGGCTGGAAATGCATTCAAACTAAGAAACAGGTGACTCATCCTAATTACATATTAGCAGATGCTGCTAACAGATGCTCCCACATTATGCTCAAAGTACAGCTGTGAGAACCAGATACCAAAGATGCTAAACTCAGAGAGATGCATCCCTTGCACCTCAACAAGATACTTGAGATATCATTCTAAGCTGACAAAGTATGTTTCTTCCAATCACCTCTGCATTGTGAAGCAAGCCAAATGTATACTAAGCCCTTTTGCTTAAACTGTTAATTTTAAGGCTTCAAAGGCAGCAAAAGGCATCAAGGGTTATTAACATATGCACCAAGCCTAAGAAGCTGTTTCTTCAACTTATAATTGTAGTACAATGAGAGTTATATTGTCTCTTGTCTCATGTACCTTACCTACTCTCCTGCCAAGAAAATTGTATGGAAAAGTAAAACCTAACTGGGAAATTTCAGAGAAAATAAAACCATTTTGAACTACCCAAGAAGTTTTACATTACAAACAACACAGGAATTATAATTACTGTTGGATTTTTCTTCCTGGTGTAAGTTCAGCTTTTAAGTGTCACAAATCATAGAATCATAGAATCATTAGGGTTGGAAAGGACCTTAAGATCATCTAGTTCCAACCCCCCTGCCGTGGGCAGGGACACCTTACGCTAAATCATATCACTTGAACAAAAACCAGCTTTAAGATACAGGTATCTGTTCAGAAGTAAACCAAACAGCTAAAGGAAGATAGAACAGATCAGCTGGAGACTTGCACATCAACAAACTCACAGAAGTATTAATAGCCTAGTACAAATTACAACTTTCTGATACTCTCAGGATACAAGAAGTCTCCAAAGGCTATGCACAGCACTGCATTTTTCAGAGTAACACTAACTTCATGGGGTGTGACTAATTCAAGGTTCTACCAACTGCAAGTAAGGAAGAAAATATGTATTTCCCAGACTCCAATTTTTCAATCCAGTGAAATATTCTAGTGCTAATTGTTATAAATGTGGCTCAAATAAATTGACGAGAGCCAGACCAACGAATCAAATCAGTTTATTGAGCAAGCGACAGCAAGCAAAACAGCGCTGGGCGGTCAGGGAGTCTCTGCTCCGCCAACAGCACGCACCCCACTTCCCCAAAGTCACTGGTTTTATACTCTTCTTCATCTGATATACGTGTCACCTCCTGGCGTCTTCTGCGTCTGTGTGATCTGTAGATAAAGGGTCTCATTCTGTCTCCCGGTGGGTGTGGGGAGGAAGGCTCCTTATCGCCTTCCCCATGCACCATTTACTTTAATGGATACCCGCAGTCTATAAGCAACATGTCAAAGCACTGTAATTTTCCAGTAACTATTAAGCAAGCAAGTAACTCTAAGCAAGTAACTCCTAAGCAAGCAAGATTTGATTAACAAACAGGAATTTACTCATTACACTAATTGTCTGCCATAGCCTTTAACAACAGCTAAAAAAGAAACCCCTGAGGTGCTCAGCCTTCCCATTTGGCTGACAGAACTCCAACCAGCATTGGTGGGCATGTTGCTGCTGGTTTTCACACTGGCAAAACCAGCGTAAGCTACTTAGGCACAGCTATAAGCTGAACTCACAAATGCTCTTAAGAAAATATTATATTGTCATCTTGATTCAGTGAGCCATCACCAGAGAAACAGTAACTTAAGACTTTTTAGAAAACACCATTTCTCTGTAATTGCACTTAAAAATAATGAGATCAAAACGACTATAAATCGTGTTTTCACGACCTCCCAAGTTTCCTTCAACGAAGTCTTTGCACACAAGTGATGTCCTGTCCCACCCACCCCCAGAGCACCGCAGTTCCCCGTGGCTGCTTCTGGAGGATGGCAGCACAGAGCTCCTACTGCACCACAAACCACCAGTCCGGCCTTCAGTATGGCTTAGCCGGAAACAAATGGCAGGGCAGGGACTCTTGGTCCCTGGAGAGCTCGCTAATCAAGTCATTCTAACTCAACAATTTCCTGCAAGGAGCAGAGCAGCTCGGCACCTCTGTATCCTGGCTGGGACCGCAGAAGACAATAGGACCTACGGGATGATGACGGCTGATCTCTGTACGTCCGAAGGGACACTTACAAACCCTCAGCCTTTAAGCACTATGTCGGACGTCTGCACCCCCCCAGGCGACAGCTGCCGCAAAGGCCGCATGACGCGCCGCCACTACGGTCCCATCCCAAGGGCATCCCTCCAGCGCCGCATGGCCGCCGCTGCAGGAAAATCCGCTCGTAAACAAAGCCCTGGGCGGGAGAAGAGATACAGCCGGACTGACAAGGGAGCACCTCGCACTCCTCCAGCCGGATACAGCGAGCACACACGCGGAAGAAGGCGCACCGGAGGACACAAAACGCTGCAAGGCGGCGAACCCTCCGTCCCCAGGCGGCGGCCCCGTACACGCGCAAGCTCCGGCCAAGCTCTCCCTCAACGGCAGCAGCAGCGGAGCTCCACCCCGCCCCGCCCACAAATAGCTGGAGCCACGCCCCAGCACTTTCTGTGACCAATGCGAGCCGCGCTTGCTCAGGGAAGGCATGGCGAGTAGAATACTCTCCAGTAGGGTGCGGCGTTGTTACGGGAGTGGGCTTCTGAGTCTGTGCGACGGGCTGGTGTGCAGCGGTGAGGATTACGGTTGCCTTCTGTCGCCCGCCATGAACTCACTGGACCAGGCTGAGGGTGAGTGCGGTGCCACGGAGCGGACTCGCGGCTACTGCTCAGCTGTGCTGGGAGCCTCTGGCCCCACACGCGCTGCCTCATTTCTCCGGAGCGGGCCTCGCCGCGGCGCTGCCCTGCGGGAGACGAAGCGGCAGCGGGAGGCCTCGGCTGCCCCTGCACTGCGCTCCCGGGGCCGGCGCTTCTCCTTGGCCCAGACAGGCGAGCTGGGGCGGGGTCTGTGGGGCTGCAGCCCGGGGCTCGGGGGGGGGGGTTTGCCCCTGCACTTGTGGCCGCCCGCGAGAAAGGCCTGTGCTGAGGGGCTCTGTGTGTGGGCTCCCGTGCCCTTTTGTCAACAAGGTTTCTCGACTTTAGGGTGTTAAAATTCCCCTGTGCTGCGGTGACTGTTTCTCCGCTCACGGTCTTTACTTGAATTCATTTCTTACAGCCCTGAGCCCCACGTAGCACACCAGGCATTTGCCAGGGCTCCTCTTGCATTTGAAGAGCGTGACGTCGAGTAGCCGGCGTTGTCTCAGGACGTTGGTGGTGTGGGTTACAAGTTCGTTGAAATGACAGTTTACAAGATGTCAGAAACCTGAAAAATGCCTTTCAGGAGATTTTTTTTTTTTTTGACACACCTTTAGTGTCCAAAAATAAGTCTGATAGAAATTTCAGAAACGCATCAGTGTCTCAGCCTTAGCAGGTGTTTCCTAGCAGATACTAGAGGTAG